TGCGGGGTGGGAGGGGTGGTCTGCGGGGAATTGCGTCTCGGGGAGGGGGCGGGGGGGGGGGGGGGGGGGGGTCCAAATTTCTTCCCCTAAACACTTCAACACTCCTTTCAGATCGTGTTTCACAAAAAAATCAATTATGTGAGGCACGCTTACATCATCATCTCATAGTTTCACAGTTTTACTATTTTTGTTTAGCGATGGCGCTCCTAGCCATTTCAACAACAATTATACTCTTTTGAACTTACTATACTATAAGAAGAATTTCGGCCTGGAAGTGGCTTCGACCTTTTCGGCTACTGGTCATGGAAAAAGTTCCTGAGATTGTATCGGTGCCACAGTAAGAGCAACAGCAACATGAGCCGAGTCCTATCGAGAGTTGTTTTTTGCCGAAAGAACGTGTTGAAAAAATATTTCAAGAAAAACTAGAGAAACGAGTGGAAAATATTACGACCAACGGTGAATACTTTGTCTATGATACAAAATATTATATATGATCCCTTCATTTAGACAAGTTATATGGCATTCGAAAATATCATCAGTTTGGTCCTCAATTGGATGAATCTATGTCATGTAAAACAATATCGACGTCATCAAACTATATTATTTACGATTATAACGTATCGTTTTTATTCTTCTATATTCATTCTTTTATACTAAATTTTCATCGACTTTTCTTTGTTTCAGACACTTTTCATACATCGTCTAAATGGAAAAAATGAAAAGAATTCCAGAAACAGCGTCCGGTTGCAACTAGCTGCCTCAGAACTTAAAAAGTCATGAGCAAACTGAGCTAAATAGCCTAATATTTCTTAGATCACATAGTAACTGAATATCAGAAAAAGAAGTTGAAAATCTTGAAATCTGATCGAATCTATATCCTTTGCCATTTTGATAAATCTGATCAGCTCGAACAACGAAGTATGCCATCTTGTAGAGCAGTTTCGCTCTATCTTTCCCAATATGTCAGTTATCCGAGAAATTCCAAAAATTGCATTTTTTTTTAAATTCAAATGTAAGCTACTTTTCACTATTGTAAAATCTTTATAGATGTGGATCTATTGACTTTTAGCCCTCTCACATTAACTCCAAAGTAATTCCAGAATTCAAAACAATATTGCTCTGGATGCTAGATTTGAAACTGAAATAAAACTAGTCTTTTAACAAAGCTGCTCGATCAAAAACGTACGCATAATAAACGCTTAGAAAAAAAGATGAAAAAACACACAAAACCTATTGGTGAAATTTTATACGATAAAAAGCCTCGAAAACTTGACTTCTATAAATCATAGATGCCAAGATATTTTTTGCAATATAAATAGATCAAAATGATCGCCTCACTGATTATACTTCTTCTATTCAAACAAGATACAATTATATTTCAACCAATCAATGAAAGTATCATCAAGATCGGTGGTTTATCGAGTTCAATGTGACTGTAATTCACCAAAAAAATATAATGGTGAAACAAAAGTGGGCATTAAAAAGAGAATGTGCCAACATTATCAACTGATAAACAAACTTGATACTAAATCAGAAATGGTTCAACACATTGAAGAAACACGTTATCAATGCTTATTTAGTACAGAACAAGCATTTATGCTAGAACAAGAAAAGAACTGGTGCAAAAGACAAGTAAAAGAGACAATTTATTCATTAATTAATCATTCAACCAACAAACACGACAATCTTAATGAAGCTTAGAACCCAATTTTATCTAAAGTCAAACAACAAATTCGAAGAAAAATCCAACAACAACAACAACAACAACAATTAAATAAATAATAACAACTATTCAAAAGAAACAAGATGATAATAGTGATACGAAAATGAATGAATCAATCCAGAACGTTACTGTTACCGTTTTGTTTCCGTATCACTATTAAATAAAACGAATGGACTAGTCTATGTTTTACACTTGTTTTTCTTCTCTTTCTTTCTTTAAAAATGTATTTCATATATGTGTGTTCAAAATGTATACTGTTATTCGTAAATGTATTTTGTATTATATAATTAATGTCTGAAGAAGTTGTACACTACAACGAAACATCGCATGATTTAAAATAAAAACAAAAATAATATTATATTAAATTAACTAAATCATCATTTAGGAAGAGAATTCATAGTGACTACAAAAAAAAACAATATATTTGGTATATTCATTCCAAGTTGAAAGGCGTTGCCTTGCACAATGCAAAACGAAATCCAACTCAATTCTTACCACGCTCGTTTCATGACGATGTCAATAGTTTAGATGGTATTAAAATTGAAATTGTCTGTATACCTAACAATCCACTAACTACTCTCTGATTACGATCATGTTTCTCATTTCGACATATACAGTTATCAGAATAAACTAAATTAAGATTTCATCTTTTTCTTTGTTTCTCCGTATTGTGGATTAGTTCTTCTGTCTGTTTTTCATCATGAATCACAACTATCCCACACTAGATCTATCTGCATTACAACTATTTCATCGACAACATCGTGCACAACAAGCAAAACCATCTTTCAATCAAGAATCGTTCAGTTCCATGCAACCGAAATCAAATATTTCGTCTTACGATGGTCCTGACGATCATGGAAGAAGAATTTTCAGGAAAGGATAATGATCATGAAGATGATCGTCATATTGAAGACAAAACAAAAATGAATGATGAAGAAAAACGAAAAGAAGAAGACGAAGAACAAAAATGGAAAGAATTAATTCAAAATTATAGGAACCATATTAAACAATTGGAACAATTGAAGAAAAAAATCCTTAAATTTTCATGCTTCTCATTCGTTGTTTTCTTTTGTTTGCACTAGTAATGATCTGATTTAATTGTCATTTTCGATTTCATACTAATGACAAAATAATCATCTTCTCAATATATAGCTGAAACACACCTTGAAAGAAATGAAAAAATCGTTGTTTAGATGATTTTCTTTGACTATTATGTATCTCTTTCTCTTTTGTGTTCTTTTCTTGTAGATCGTGAGAAAAAACGTTGTTCTGTTTTTCCCACTTTGGAACCTTGACGAAAATGGACGAGACACTGACTATCAATGAACAATCTAATATTAGATGTTTGATCGTCGTCTCTTCTAACGATCCTATGAATTATCTTCATCAACTTGATCGGTGGCATGAAGAACAACTTTCGTTGTAACATGAGTGGCAATGCAAAAGTTTCATTTTCGAGCGGTGATATTCTGATTAAAGAAGTTTTGACGAATGAAAATATTTCATTGTTCAGGATATTATTTTCCTCTTATTCGTCGTTTTCACTCCTCAACTACTGACAACACACGACACACATATGAGATTCTGTATTGATTCTCTTAAATGTATTCTAATTTTGAATCTATTCTATTAATATTGAGTGGCGCTTGATAAAATTCTGGTCAAATCGAAATACCTGGTATCGTGGTAGCTATACACACACAATCACAACTCACATCGATCGATATCAGCAAATTATCCAAAACTGCAAAAGTGATTTGATACTTCTCTTTTGATAGGTTCACTTTCAATGGATCAACATTTACACCCACATCCATACCCACACCCACACCCACACCCACACCCACACCCACACCCACACCTACATCCACACCCACACCCACACCCTGTTCAGCTGGACATTGATATTTTTGCAAGTACCGTTCATGTACAAATGGAAGAAAAGGATAATCACTCATCTTATCTTAAAAAAGAGAGAAACAAAATCTTAGATAGTTTAAAGATTGTTTAATATAATTCATTCCAAGAAAAATCTTTTTTCTTTGAATCAAAGCATAAAAAAATCAAGCTCTACTCAATTTCAGGGTGTTGGTGTGGGTGTGGGTATGGGTAGGAGTCCGTATGGGTCAGGTCTGGGTGTGAGAATGAGCTCATCTATTGTTAACTCACACCCACACCCACATTCACGAAGCCGGTCATAGTTTGCTTGACAGACCCTCAAAAATAGGCAGTCTGTCACCTGACTTTTGTTAAATGCTTTTGTGCAGCAAAGTTTTGATTTTTTTTGTCGCCGTATTATTAGCCGTTGGTTGGTAATTGTCAGAGAAATATTTATTCAACGTGTGTTACAATAGCAGCGTCATGTGCCGTGATGTGCGATTACTCGAACGATGACAAAGGAAGCATAGCCTGTAGAAATCATTACTTGCATACATACTCGAGAATTTTTCTTTCACTCGCAAAACCTATCAATTCTTGTTGTTTTATTTTTTTTTATTTACGAAGCATCAGAACAATGTTGGCAAATTCCAAGATGAAAATGCATGAGAAGAGTGTAAAACTGTGCATTGATTAACAAAAAATTATTGCTTTTCTTCGTCGTATGTTTCATAACATTATATTCATCCTTCGGTATTTTTTCCTGAATGATTAGAAGAAAACTCTCAATAGATATTTCGGCTTGTGATTTTTTGACCCTGTAGATGTTAGAAAAAAAAACTGAATTGAACAAGTACATAAAAAATTATTCATACAGAATTGTATATTCTTTGTTTAGATAAAATAGGAACGCACATCACCTTCATTGCTGTATGAAATGATCGCCTATCAAACAGATATTCACATCGATCGAAAAACACCACATCCTCATCAATGCCATCTGAAATGAGTAACAAAAAGTACCACATTGTGGAAAAGAAACAATTTCTGATTCGAGAACTGAATTAATGCTTTGAAGTCTCTTGTTTATGAAATTTTAAGCCTGTACATATGTGAAATTCCACCGCTGATATCGAGAATCATATTTAGTTTACTGAAGTCCAGTCGGCGTTTTGGAAGATAAACAGCTTATGGTTTTTAAATGTGAGTCTTTTTCGCATTTTCTTGTTTTTTTCAGATCGTCATAATTTTAAATAATCTCTGCCGAAATTCTTGAATGGAAGTGTGAACTGCGGCAAAAACAAAGAGAACAATCGAATTCGAATAAGACACCAATGACTTCACAAAACTGGAATCCACCTGAAATCACTGACTTAGATGTATTAAACTCGCCGCGGTTAACTGAAGACGGTAATTCGAAAATTTCAGTAGCTTCCGCATCCACTTCAGCCCGATCAAGTAGGTAGGCAGGTTTAGTACAAGATAATCTGGAAATACTGAGAATTTTTTAATGCTACGAATGAAAGATGATGAAGACTTTGTTTTTGAAAATCAGATGAATCCTATGTCGTAGATTTCTTCGAAAGACTGACGATATGCAACGGTCACCATAAGAACCAGTAGTATATCAACAGTTCGTCTGTCACAGTACTTTCGACTTTAGGTTCTGGCTATAAAAACTCCGGAAGAGCTTTCTACCGAAATTTGTATTGATTATTAGAAAGTATTCAAATTAATCCAAAAGAAAATCGTCTCAGAGCTTCTTACACTTAAAAACGTTTTTGAAACACTACCTTTAATAAAAATTCATGGTATACATAGTACTGATTTCCGCTCTTTGGTAGATATAGGCAATACGGCACCGGCTCTCGCACCGGTATCGAAAAAGATTGATTTTAGCCGAGCCTAGAAACAGGTCCAGAGTCAGAACCGGAGCTGGTACCAGATATTATTTTGCTCGAGGCAAGAATCGAAAACAATTAGACCTATCCATCATTACTGTGTCGCTAGTGCTGAAGGCTGAGATGGATCAAAACTGACAATTACGTTCGAATCAACTCAATTCTCTCAGATTTCATACACTTTAAAAAATAATCCTCTGTTTATACCAAAGGGGAAACGGTGTACTTTGTACTTGAAGTTAATTTGGGCTACTTGAGAGCACTTCAAGCTAAACTCCTCCCCGCATTAGAAGACCCCTGGTCTTCAATGATGTCTTGTCGTAAAAATTTCTCAGAGGGGTCTTCTATCATGTCCTAGGTTTTTTACCAATTATTAACTGAAAGTAGGTTTCCAGAAATCCGAGGCGATTTTCAGGATTCTTATAGGAATTTTCACGGTTTTGAGGGTCGGCGGATACATTTGGACTCATTTTCTAAATATTACCAGCTGAAGAACCTAAAAACTATGCATTCCTGGAAGAAAATTCCCTAAGTAAAGTTCTTAATTAGCAAATCATTAATTAATTAAAGGGAGGTCTTCTAATACGCCCAATGAACTTTTTGTCGAGGGGGGGTCTTCTATTATAGGGCAGTCTACTAATATGGGGTGGGGGGGGTCTTCTAATACGGGGAGGGGTTTACTTTAAAGTACTTTTCTGTAATATTAAAGTATTTCGTTGTAATTTTGAAGTACTTTGCTGTATTTGAAGTCCGCTTTTTTCCCTTTGGTTTATCCACAATACAATATGGTAAAACACCCTCGCACAAAGATCCACCTTGATGACCCGCATTATACCGATCGGCATCATAGTGATATTTGTCTTTTCCAATCAAATGGAATCTAAAGAATAAATATACTTAAGTTTCTCCGTGTCCAAACAACACAGCTACTACTTTGTTCAAGAATGGTTGACCCGAAACTGCTAAGACCAACATGAGAACATTCGTTTAATTCTCTGAACGAAAACTAATATTTTTAGCTCTTCGGACGATGCGGGGAGAAATATCTTACCTCGAGCTTCCATCAAAACTAAAAAGACTAGAAGACTTTCGATGTCTCTATCTCAAGGGGGAAAACGCAGATTTTAAGATTTCGAAAGATTTTAAGAGATTTTAGATCCCAAAATCTGCTTTTCCCCCCTTCTTCTACCTTCAGTGAT